ACACAAGTTCTGCTGTGGCCTCGGGCAAGACTTGGCCCCCTGAGCCACCCATCAGTGCCTCCTTCTCCAGCAGCTCCCAGGCAGCTCCCTAGCAGCACCCTGGAGTGCCAGAGACAAGCAGAAAGCCATGGCTGGAGACGCTAGAGGCACTAGAAGCACGGAGCCTCCCAGGGAGAGCAGCAGGGACCCGCCAGGCGCTGCCCATGCGGGTGGCAGCCGAGACTCCTGCTATCCACGGAGCGCAGCCCAGCGCCAGAGCTGCCCTTGGAGCCGCCGCTGGCTCCCAAGGCCCCGGCCCCTCAGACCGGTCCCTCTGCCCACACCTGGCCCTGCCCTGGCCATCGGGGGCCTGGCAAGGTGCCCTGATGGGTTTGGGCAGAGAGGTGCCCCCCTGCCTCCCAGATCAATGGGAGCACTCAGCATTTCCGAATGGATCAATTCAGACACTCGCGCACACCTCGCCTGGGGCTGCTGCTTCACAGGGACGCGAAGGGAAAGGGGAGCAGCCAGGATTTCCTGGAAAGGGCTAGAAGGAGGCTTTCCTGAGGATGGAGGAGGATGAAGCATTTTAATGGGGAAGAGGCATCTAAGAGGAAGCAGGACAGGTAGGGGATGGGGGGCTTTGGGGGGCCGAGCGGAGGCTGTTGGGGGCCCGAGGGGGGGAGCGGGCTGGGGGCGCGGGGGGGACCCCGCGGTGGGGGCTGCAGCCGCTCCTGCAGGGGGTTGCAGCGGGGACACGGGGAGAGGCGGCGGGGGCAGCCCGTGCCCCGGGGGGGTCCCGGGGGAGGCGGCCGGTACCTGAAATTGGGGGGCGATGCGAGGTGCAGCCCCAGGAAGGGGGAGGAGGCGGGCGGGGATGCGGCTCCTTTCTCTCGCTCCGCCATTCCGCGGCTGTCTCCATGCAGGCGGAGGCAGGGAGGGAGCGGGGAAGGAGGGAGCGAGGGAGGGAGGGAAGGAGGGAGGGAGGGAGCGAGGAGAGGAGGGGAGGGGGCTGCTGGGGGAGGGACGCGCCTGCCGGCGGGGGGGGGGGGGGGCGCAGGGGGCTCCTGCCCCCGGCCCCGGCGGCAGCTGCAGGACAGATGTGGCCGCAGCGGACGCCCCGCCCCCCGGCAGGTGCCCCGGCCCGGGGCAGATGTGCAGCAGCTGGAGCGGCACCCGGGGGGGCCCGGGAACGTGCCCGGCCCCGGCCGGCCTGGAGTGCCAGGCCCCTTCCAAGGGCCTGGGCGGTCCCGTCACCATCCTCGTCACCATCGCCATCCCCGTCACCATCACCATCCCCGAGACCTTCCCGGGGAGGCAGCTCCTGGAGCGGGCGCAGGGCAGCAGTGCCAGGGCTGTCCCTTCTCAGAGCAGGGCCCGCTCCTCTCCCGCGAGGCCAAGGCGAGCGGCCAAGCACCAGAGCCGGGCTGTGTTCTCCCACCTTCGCCTCCGGTTTGCACCCGCTGCAGGGCTCACGGCAGGTCTGGCAGCCCCAGCTCGCCCCATTGCAAAGCCTGCCTCCTGTTCCCCCAGCCTCCCGAAGCCTGGGTGGGTCAAGGGGAGCATAAAAGCAGTTTTCACACCCCTCTCCCCCATATACAGACTCCTGTACCTAGCAAGAGTCTCTGCCAAGCTGTCACTCTCCCCAAGGGAGCCAGAGCTGTCCTACCTGGGCAGGCCGTTACCCTCTGCTGCGCTTCTTCTCCAGCCTGAGCAGCAGGTTTCTTTGGTGTCTCTCTCCTTCCCATGCTTTGCAGGCTATATCGTAAAATAATGCAAGCTGCTCTGCATACAGAAGTGGACAGCAGTATTTTTAGACCCCAAGGCTGCTATTACAGGTAAGTGAACTTTTAATATTCCCCACATAGCCACCACTCTCCTGGACAGTCCGGAGGGGTGGGCAGTGCTGCCTCAGCAGTTCCCACTTTAAAGGCACGGCAGGTCCCATCATGGTCTCTCAAGCCGCAGAGCTAACTATCTTTGAGACAACAGTATTAATTTCTTGGCCAAGACCCAGGAGCTCAGCTGCTCTTCCAGAGAGGAGCAAGCAGAGCCCTTGGAGGCACAGAGCCCTGCTCTCACTGGGGAGGCTTGGTCCTCTGCCAGACTCGAGAGCTGTTACTCCCAGCCAGCACGGAGCAGGGCAGCGCGGAACCAGCAGCTCAGCAGCCACAGCCTTGGGGCGGCCTCCGAGGGCGGCTGCTGCTGGTACCTCCACAGCTTGGCTGCAGGGATCCAGCCGTCTTGTCCTTGTCAGGGCCTAAGAGACTCAACGTCTTCCATTTAGGCACGGGGAGCTTCACCACTCTCCCAAAGGACAAGACCCAGCTACTGAACTGGGAGCAGGCTGCCCTACCTGTGGTGGCAATGCACCGGCTGCCCAACGTGTGGGACTATGGGAAGGAGCTGGTCCTCCCAGGCAGGTTCACTGTAAGCAGAGTGAAATAAAAGCCTAAACCAAACTCCAAAGAACTGTCCCCTGGGGAAGCAACCTAACACTTGGACACCAGGTAGAACCATCTGATGCACCTGAGGCCACGTGCTTTGTCTAGGGTATCTACTGAAAACTGGAGATGTGATAAAAATAGGCATTATAGTTATCCATATTATTCGTAGACCCTGCATAACCACTCCAGGCTCCCAGAAACACGTGTGTGCATGTTGTGCAAAGCAGAGACTCTATTTGCCCACAAACAAGGTCTTTTCTTTCAAATCGTCTGTTTAACCACCAGGTTCCCTTCAGAGCACTTGTTCTTAGCCCAAGAAACATTTGTGCGCTCAAAAGGCCTGTGTGCTCCTCTCCCCGGTTAAACCATCTGGCCCAACACAGTGTATTCCCTCTCTCCATCAGTACAGTTATTGCACCAAATTGGCAGCCGACGCTTTCCTTTAGCCATCCCCCTCAGTGCCCCAGATGTTGCCTGTGCCCCCATGAGGAACACGTGGTGCACATGGAGGCTCCCAGGCATGTCCTTGTGGAGGACGGATGAGGAAATAGAGCTCCTGTAACCACCAGCACTTGGAGTGCACAAGCACTGGCCCTCTACCCAAGGCCCAAGCCGCAGCCTCTGGCCTCTGCAGGCCCACGTTACGTTACTGCCCCTGGAGTAACTGCAAAACTCGTGAGTTCGTTGTATTGGCTCTTGGTCTTCCAAGGGACAGGCTGCAGAGTTCTGTCATTTACAAGCCCCTTCAGGCACTGAAATAGTATTTCCTCAAGCTGACAAGGCCCTTGCAGGAGGCAATTCAACATGAGCATCCAGCCTATGGCCTCACTCAGTTAACGAGTGCTCTGTGTGCATCGAACACCTTGCAGACAAGTCTTGTCCTTTAATCAACAGTGCTTCTTTGAAATAATCTAGTCTGCATCTCTAAAAAGTCTTCTCACTCTCAAACACCCCCAATCAATTAGCCTCTCCGTTTAAATGCTTATAGATGCAAAAGTGTTTTAGAGATTGCATCTTGTTCTTGCCTGGATTGTTTAATATTTGGGTAGCTGCTGTTCAGACAGGTATGAGCTGAACATGACCAAGGGCTAAGGATCTAGCACTTCCTAGAAGATGAATTGTGCAGCCACTTGCTAAAGGCTTGCTGCTTACACAGAAAATACTGTGCCTCATATCATCCTCCAAAAGATAAAAAGTTTCAGTAACCAGGTCTACAAAGGAGCACTGAGGAGAACGGCGTATTGCAAAAACAAAAGATGGCTTCAACTGTGTTCTAGGGAGCTCCTAGGCTGCTTGACGTGGTGCATTTAGTATCAGTTCATGGCTTAGGTCACGAGTTGCAAGAGGAAACAGACCAGCTCTGTCACGTTTCTGTGCTCCAGTGCTGACCCCTCTCAGTGAAAATGGGTCTCCACACCAGTCCATGGAACATCTTCTGCAAGGCAGTCCTAAAAGGCCTACTACTTCAGATTCAAAACAAAGCTGCTTGCCATGCACCAAGTTCATCCTCTGCACCCTTTGGGGATGCCTGTACCAGGCTGGACCAGGTAACTTTCCAGCCCTGTATCCCTCAGACACAGCAAATAGCTGTTATTTCAGGAAGCATCATAACCCGCTGAGGTGCATGCCTTTGATGATGCATCCTCTGTGTATCTCATCTTCCAGCAATCCTCTGCTCTTTCCTGAAACAAAGATGATGCTTTTGCTAGTAGTTATTAATGTTTTTTTCTTTCCTTGTGAACTTGTCAAGCCTTTTGAATCCAGGAAAACTGTCCATATCCACAGCACACTAAGAGGCTGACACAAAAGGAGTCCATGTAGGGGAAGCTGCAGATATGCTCTAAGTCATCTGAGTCTGCCATCTGGTAGCTTGGTTAAACATCCCAAAACTAAACACTTTGGAAATTGGTGAATAATCATTCCCCATTCCTCTTCTTCATCACTCTGTCCCACATTCTTATCTTTTCCAATGGGAAGAGATAACAGAATGGATAAATTCCAACCTATTTAGTAAGGTTCTGTATGGAAGTTATTCCACGTCTTGATTACTCTTTGTGCGTTTCTCTGTGCCCTTTTCAGTTTTATTACTTGAACTGTTGTTGTTCCAGCCGTCACCATACACATCACAGGAGATGAGAGAAAACCTGCAGATGGGATTCCCCCTTATCCACAAATCCTCCCAGAAGACAGCTCAGGGAGATTTTGCCTCCTTTCCCCTTGACCCTTTACTCCCACAGAACCAGGCTTAATACACCATTTGCCTTCAAATAAAATAATCTGAACCACAGCGGAAAGGGTTAAAGACATTTATAAAAAATACTAACATCATATTTACAGACCATTGTCTAAACATCAAACTTTCCAAATGACAGAAGTCAAGTTTCTGTAATCTAAAGTTGCATGTCTTCTTTCTGCAGCAGAAGACAGGGGGTCTCTCCTTTCCCTTATACCCTGCCTGTCCTCAGACAGTGGGAGTAAGGTCTGGATTCAGACTGGAGTAGACAAAACCCAAGCAATGCGGATCACTGAGTTATTCACCAGGGAGACTCCATGAATAACAGAAGAAAGAAGTCAGGAAAAGCAACTCCTGTTTACTCAGACACTCTGGCCACTGGATTTCCTTAGGAAAGGGTATCTGTGGTAAATGCTCTAGGGAGGCTAGTGGGAAGAAAAGGTTATTCATCTACTTCATAAATTAACTCTTGGACAAAACTTAATTACTCCACTTCCTCCACTCCTTTATAAGCTTCTCATATATTTGAGTCAGTTTCTGTTTGCAACCCTAGTGTTCTGAGTTCAAATATAGGCTCCAAACTGTGAACTGACTATCCCAGAGCGAGAAGCAAATCCCATGCTCTGAAAATCATTAGCTGATAAAGCTTACACACTACCTGCACCAGGTAGAGATGAAGAGCTTTGGACAGGAGAGGAAAACAGTGCAAACAGTAGCCTATTGCATGGGATTATCTACTGAAAATAATGCTGAAACAAAGGCTCTTCTATAGGACTGCTCTCCCTGGCCCTCTCAGGTGGGAGAATCACTCTGCAGCACCGTGCTGAAATGACATGCTGCAGCAGGACAAGGCCACGGAATATAACAAGGAATATTGCAGGTTAAGAGCCTGGAAAGCTACACAGCGGTTCTGCTAGACCATAAAGCATCAATGTGTGAACAAGAAAGTGTGTTGCACAGGGTATGAGACTTTGGAGTTACACTGGATACACACTCAGCACATACAGCTAATACAGGAGGGAGCAAACATGCACACAGAACAGACAATGGACAGAGCCCAAGGAAGACTCACTTCAAGAAGCTGCTGTGCAACCCACACTCCACGAGCACTAGGCACTCCACAGGCTACACACCAGACCCCGACAGCTTCCTTTGAAAGAGCTATTGCTCAGAGAAGGAAAGGCAGTAGACGCCAGATCCCAGGACTGTTTCCTCTACCAAGAGTAGCTGCCTTTGCTGTTTGCAGCAGCAAGTTTCTTGGAGACTGCTTTAACCATATCAAGTCATGGTCTCATTCTACAAATAATCCTCTTTCTGAGCCTCTCTCCCTCGGTATCAAGCTGCTCTCCAGCTGCCCATTCCAGGCAAGAGCACTATGGCTCAATCTCCCCACAGAAGAATCTCACTACTGCAGCTTTAAGTGCCTTTCTATTATAAAAACCATTCATAGCAGTTTGTTCATTTGCTACAATTGCCCTTCATTTATTTTCCATCCTACACATGTAAGATCCTGATGTATTCAGAAAGCACTTATGTCCCTGCCAGTCTAAACAAACATGGAGATTTTCCACTTCTCTGTTAGATGGATACTACTCTTGATATTCTAGAAGCTTCCTCCTCAACTGCTACTATAACCTTGGCCCACCTCACTGCCTAGTACCAGCAGTGAGAACGGACATTCGTTACTTCTGAGATGCAGCTCCTTATCAATGCACAAAATCACACGCACTGATCCACTGTCAGAAAGATACACCCAGAGGTGAACAAGTTGATAGAAAGCTCTTGCCCCCTTTACATGGGGCTGGCTGAGCTTGGCTGAGAAGAAATATATTTGGCATGCCGGAAAGCCAAATATCCCTAAGCACAAGTGATTTGGTGCCGTTTTGTGGCAGCTATTGGTATTGCACATTTACATGAGACACCCCAGGTTTTCTGTTGCAGCTCTCAAGTTCCATTCCCTCCATGGCAACAGTCCCAGCTTCAGTTCTTGTCATCTCTTCAGCACTTGCTCTTCATCTGTGAGCTGCCTGATGCTGGCTGCAAGAGAAAGGAGAAAAGAGTTTGCCTTGATTCCCCCATCAGAGTGAAAAGGGAACTGGCAAAACACACGGCCAGATCCTTCCCTGCAGCTTTCTGGAGCATTTCAGGAGGATGATTAGGAACAGCACCCACCTGCCAGCTCCCTCCTCCACCCTGTATCCTCACCACCTGGGCAAATCTGGCTCCAATCCCATTCTGTAGAACGGGAAGAAAACTTTCAGGAACAAATCCAAGAATATCTAATTGTGCCCTAGTAATAAAGTACTCTGCTGTACTATGGGTTAAACAGCTTACCAAGCAAATCCAGAACAACCAGAAGGGCAGTCACTGACAAATTACAGAGCTATGAAACTACAGTCCCCATCCGTGCCCTCAAGTACATCAATATTATACCTTAAAATTCAGGGAGTAAATTAAAATTGCTAACTGGTTCTTTTTAACTGTCAAAAAAACAAGATGATTTGAGCCAGACCATGGCAGGAACTACTCACAGTCACAAGCTCTTGCCAGGGATGTCTGGAGCAGGGAGACCTCCCACTTTGGCTCGTTTGTACAGTTCTTCAGTGCACATCTCTTCTGCTCCCTCGTGCTTGCGCTTTGGAGAAGCCTGGTCAGATTGTGGTACTCTCATCACTGTATAGGAAGAAAAGTTATTGCAACATTTCCTCCAGCCTTGAACTCCTCACAGCTACACCCTGAGTTTCTAATGTGCCACAGAGCTGGGGCAGGAGAATTGCACTGTATAAACACAGGGAAGTGTTGGCACAGCCTCCTTGAAGGTTCACTTTTGACAAATTTCATTCAAAGTAGGATTACCGAGACCTCCAGAACAAACCCAAAGGTGTTCTCCTTTGCTAGGGGAATAGCTTAATTTTATCCAAGTAGCCCTACATTGACCAGCACTTTTCCATTAAGTAGTTGCATAGGATCCTAAACTGGCGATTAAACATTCATTTTAGTGAATTCCTCTTCTAAAGATCTTTTAGATTCCTAAAAGAAGGCTCACTATAAAGTTCTGAAGAAAGCCTAAAGTTGAATATGATCTGTTTTCCTAGCTACACATCCTTTTCTCATCAGAAGAGAATTTTACTCTCCTGCCCACAGCCTCTAAGTCCCCACAAAACCATCCCTGTAGCAGACAAGTAGCTCCAACCCACCTGTGCTCGTACTGCTGCTCTGCCCTAAAGCTGGGTCTGCAACTTGGCCACTGAGATCTTCCACACAGGGTACCGATGCCAGTAAGCCTAGAGAAGGAAATAGGAGGATCACTGTTGAGAAACAAGGAACTTGGTGGGATTAGGGAAACAAAACAAGAGCCCTTCTCGTTGAAATATCTAGTGACTGTCAACACCATCGGTACACAACCATACATATATCCAGCTCACTGGGGATACTGATGAGTTCAGAGCTCTGCTCAGCCAGTGCTGACCACAGGCACCATGATCTCACAGCATGTTCCTTTAGGATACCCTGCCTAGTTTTTCCAAAGTGAAGAATGGACAAGTGGTGCTATGTATTTCATCATGAAACCTACTCCACCTACTCCATCCTTCACCCACTCCATCCTTCACCCACTCCCAGCATCTTGTCTTGTGTTAAGGGCGGTCTCACACAGATCTTAGTACTTACACAGTCCCCTGTAGCGTGACAACTGCTGGTAGATCTGCTTCATGCGTTCAATGTTCAGCCGGCTGGTCTCTGCATGGTTCACCATGGGTTTGGGGTAGTCCACTCCAATGATGCACTTGGCTGCCTTCTGCACAGACTCCGGAGCATTCCAGGGTTCGTAGATATACCGTGAAGGGAAGCCCTTTAATTTGGGCAGATACCGCCTACGGCACAGGTAAAACGATGCACAACATCACTTATAGAGCAGGGTTCACAGTGCACAGAAAGTGTCATGCACCTACCAGCTACTAACGCCTTCAGCTGGGAGATGAAGCCAGAAGGAAGCTCTGGTCACATTACTTACTTAACGTAGTCACCACTGGGGTCCGTGCGTCGTCCAAAGCCCACGGGGCAGTAACAGTGGAAGAACTGCTGGAAGAACGCACTGCACGAAAGCCACATCCAGCTGCCTGCATTTACGCTGAAATCCGCATCCAGCAACAACTCATCAAATACCTGCAGCAACGGAAAGAAAAGGCAGTGAGGGCAGCCACAAATTCTTCTGTGCAGAAGGAGGAAGCAAGAGGCTCTTTCAGATGGCAGATGCCGAGACATCTGAGGACAGCGAGGAAGCCAAGAGCAACAAAGAGGTGACCTGCTGGCTGAAGCTGGTCAATAGATCCCGCTTCCTGACATTTTCACACAGGGAGGCACTGTTTGCTCACACCAATAAAATGCTGGTTAATGTCTCCTGCAGCTACAGACTGCTTAGTGTTACTGCAATCCCTGAGTATTGATCCTAACCTGGGAGACCTCTGAAGTGCAAAGCATTGACCCTGGAAAGCTGACAGCGCTGCACAGAAGAACAAGGACCAAAAGAGAAGGAAAAGCACCTCTGAAGATCCCAGAGCTCCGTGCCCATATCTTGGTAAGCACCCAGGTTTTAGCAGTATACTCACATCCATGCATGAAAATTGTCCTTTCAACATCCCATTCTAAAATATACTTCCAGATTTGTAAGATGTCTCTACTTTTTTTATAATTTTTTTCCTCCTCCTTTCGGTATAGGTCTTAGGTATACTCAATAGTTTTGAGCTGTCTGACCCTTGGAGTGTCCCAAAAGGTGGGTCTTTTACCTCTTTCCATGAGAGACTCTAGACTCAGATTTCAGTCATGGAGTTTTCCTGACGGGCATGGTGATGGATTATACAGTGAGGAGAAAGATCCAGTTATAAAGAGCCATGGAACTTGCAAAGAAAATGGATGGGCTGAGAGCACTTTTACACGCCCACATACAGACACACGCCCACACAAATCCCCCAACCCCAACCCATATTTACATGTGGATCCCACTAATTTTTACTTAGAGGTTACTGGAGACTCTCTTTACAGAACCCTCACGGCAGAGGGCAGCAAGAAGTCAAGCTGCTGGCACGCCAAGAGCCCACTAGCAAATCTTCCTCCGTGCAACTTGTCAAGTGAAAGCCATACCTGTATTCCCATCCTTGCAGGGAGGGCCAAGGAGACTTTGCTTTCCTTACGGTCTCCTGCAAGCCTCTGGAAATACAAGACTCACCCTGACTCCGGACTCCCAGCTGATCCAGAGGTCGCCCCTGGTTAGGAAGCAGGCCACGGCATGCCTGGCCAGGTGGTGGATCCATCCTTCCTGCCTCAGTTGGGTCATGATTGCATCAATCCAAGGGAAGCCTGTCTTGCCCTCTGCCCACTTTGCCAAGGCTTCAGGGTTCCGATCCCAGGGGATCTGGATGCAGATGGGGTTCCCTTCCATGCGGTCAAACTTAGGGTTGTTGGTGGCTGCTGTGTAAAAGAATTCCCGCCAGAGGAGCTGTCCATACAGAGAGAGGGGGGGCGTGCTGTTGTGCTTCACCTGTGCGGGGGACAACAAGAGGAGTCAGAGAGGGGAGGGTGGCTTCATTAGGTTGTGCTGTAAGCCATCCATACATTCATGCACACGATTCCCAACAAGATTCCCAACAGTTACTGGCAGCTGCCACAATGGAGTTCTATTTCAGTTCATACTTTACCAGAAACTCCAGCTTGTAATGTAGCTCGTGAGTTTTCGCTCATGCCATACAACAAAAGCGATCTGAACCACCAACAGCAACTAACAATAAAAAGCTCCAAATAGCTGATGATCCAGGAGTCCAGGCTGAAGCACAGCATCAGCAGATCTGAGACAGCAGTCTGCTCAACTGCACACAGCAGAGTCCCCTTTTTACACCCAAGAACCTCTTCTGTAGCAGAAACAAGCTTTGCTCAAGGGTCAGACACAAAGCAGACAACAGCAACTTCTGCAGCTCCTGCCACACTCTTTAGGAGATAAAATCCTGCCATGCTCAAACCCATCCTGCTCTCCAGATGAACATGTTTGGATTTGCTTTTGTCTTACCTTCTTATAGAGCTCCCAGAGCCGGTAATAAAACAAGCGGCAGGACAAGCAGCCGAAACGCAGGTAGGGACTCAGTCCTGTCGGGCTGGCCAGCAGTGAATTGGCATTCATCCTTGGTCGTTCGTAATTTGCAACCCATGCCTAGACATATTCAGGAGAAACAAGGCAAAGAAAACCAAACCTGTCAGACACTGCAATGAACAGGCCTCTCTGAAGGCGGTGAGGTCACTCGGGTCTCTTCTATTCACTTCCAATCACCGCTTTGGGAGATCTGCCCTGGGCAATTCCAGCCCCCACATGCTAATTCAAGTCATTCTGGCCCAGGAAAGGACTGGATTTGCATTGCATGCCTTAGCTAATAACCCTGAGATCTTCTAGGGACACATGGTAATGCAATTGTTAAGGTCCAATCACGCCCATCTTGTTTAGTGTGTGGAATGAGATCATGTAAGGAAGCTCAGAGCTCCCTGTTTTGCCATTGATGCTGAAGGTTTGTTCCTTCTCCAATACCAAAATTTATACTGTGAGTCCTACACCAATCACCAAGCTATCTGGTATTAAAAAGACACAAACAGCTAAAACCTAAGTCATACCTCTCCACAAAGAGCACATTTCATTGCTCTAATACTTTTTTGCCTTATGAACACTATGATGGCAAAGACCATAGAAGAGATCTGGTATTTCAGCTAGGGGCTAAAGGAATTCCAATCAGTGAAAGAGCCAAGGCAGACGTACACTAGGAAGGAATTCTTTTATGAGCACATACCCCTACCAATGCCTCACACAGACTAGAGAAGATGGTATGCAACGTGAGGCATGGACCAAGCAACTTTATAGGAGATACTCCAAGTCTGCATTCCTCTAAATGAAATGAAAGGAGCGATAGGAAAGAGAGAGTCCCATCTCACATCACCACAGTTATTACACAGCTCTACTTCTCTGGGTTTCATGTAGCCCAGAAGGGGAGCTCCTGGCTCTACATACAAGCCAAGATGGGGTGAGCTGCATCAGCATCAGAGTCCCCACTGCAGGGGAAGGCATTGCTGACAGGAGAGAGAGAGAGGGAAAAAAAAAAAAAAAAAAAAACACGAAAGGATGATGGCCAATGTCAACATTTTTAATTTAGGCTACTGCTTGAAGAAATGACCACTTAAATAACATGGATTACCTTTCTTTCCAAGTGTTTATCCAGTCGTGCCAAGGCTTCTGTCTCCCCTCCTTGCCAAACTGCAGGGGCAAGGCCATCTGTGGGGAAACCTGAGGGAAAGGATTTGGTATGATTTGAATTCTAGACAAATATACAAACGAAATTCAAACACGAGTAAAGCAATACATGCTGAATACTAGAGCATTTAGTTGAGCTACCTAACATGGCAGACTTACTGCTCTAGTCCTACAGCAGGCATTTGGAGTATGGGGAAAATCTGTTCACAGCACTGCAGAACAAGAGCCTGTCCCTGCAATGCTTCACACAGCCTTTCGAGGACTTCATCCCCCATTGCTCACTCACTGGTACCCTTGTGATTCAGTGTTTCCCACAGGGCTCTGCTCTAAGGGGCAGAAGGTTTGGCTAAGAGAATATCTGCCCCAAATGTTTGACTTACAAAATATCCAGCTACAAAATACCAGCAACTCACTAAAGAGTCTGCTAAGGGCTCCTGTTCTTCTGACACAAGGTGGGTGCAGGAATAGTGCTGAAGAGCTGCATTTCATTAGTTTCCAGAACCAATGCACTGCTCTAGGCTCATAGCAGGGCCTCCCCTGGCGACAAGCAGAGCACTGTAAGGTTGCATGTATTAGGTCAGACATTAGTGAAAAGTGATCTGCCAAGGACTGTAACCCTCCTGTTGTGAAGACCTCCTTTTCCAAGACTGCTTCAATTGTGCCTCAAGGTACCAAGGTGCTGACTCTCAAGAACCTGGCAGTAAGGCTCCAGCATCATAGGCATGCAGGCAGTATTCTGCATTAACCCTTAGTTTCCTTGCATTTAAATTCATATCCTTGATATAGGCCTCACGGCACCACTCTATTCATCCTCCTTCTCCAAGGAGGAAAATTTACCAAAAGCATCTAGGAAGGATGAAGCAAACCCTGACTTCCCAAGAACCAGAAGGCCTAGCAGGATGGATGAAAGTAGTTTTGGTAGTATCTCTGCTCTCATTAAGCTCCCAAACTGGTGCTGCTTGGGAACAAGCGAGTGATCTGAGGCTGGCACATGGTCAGCTCACCTCTTCAGGTCCATTACGAAACCCGCCAGAGACTGTAACAAGAAGCAACCAGCTGGTGTGGACACGAGACACTGATAACACTGGTTACGTGCTCTCAGTGGCAGAGAGAGCACTAGCACAGCCGTGGAGCGTTTGACAGCAGCGCTAACGGGGACGCTGCCCTCAGTATGGCTGCAGTGCTAGGGGCAGCAGTCTGTTTTCACAGACTCCAGCAGTCTCTAACAATCAAGTGCTGCTTCCACAGCTAGGGGCAACCGAGGTCAGATGGGAACACTGGAGTTGTCCTGGGTGCATGCCAGCCATCAGGAACACGTTGCAGTGGAGCCCGTTTCTGCTGGCAGTTAACCCTTACCTTCACCCTTAACACATACCCAGCTCCTCCAGGGACGGGACTCCAAACACGTCGTCATGGTTCTCCTGTATTTCCACTTTACACGTTTCCATCTGCTGACTTACTATGCTGCTCACTGGCTTCTTGGGGAGCTCCATACGGCTAATGATAGCCTGGAAGCGCTTGTAGGTGAGGGGCGGTTTGTGGCCATTCAGCTCAATTATTCTGGAGACAAAATAAATGAGATGACATTTACAACACAGCCTTGCTCCCACAGAAGAGACAAGGGAATAACAGTCAAACTGTATCCAGCTCCTAGCAGTCTTTCACTTCCAGTACAGAAATCCTGTACAGATCTGGGTTTCTCATGATGAGGCCCTAAAAAGGAATTAAAAAAACAAAGCAAAACAAACAAAAATCCATACTAATAAACGAATGAACATATTAATCCATCTCCATGAAAAATACAAGAAAGCAGCTGAATTGGGCTTCCCACCATTTCTCTCCCAGAGCTCTTCACCTCAATCCCCCTGCAATATCTGATTGCTCTCTCTCCCCAGGATGACAAACCCCAGACCTGCACGTGCTCCTCCCCAGCCCAGGGGATATCCCCGCCTGTCCCTGTCCTTACTTCCTCCCTTCCCAACACCGCTAGTCCCACTGCGACTGTCCCCTCCTCCACCAACCTCAGAGGACACAAATCCCAGTCTGCGTCATTCTTCCCATGCTTAGAGAAATCCCCCTTCCCCCCTAGCCCCGTAAGCTCAGGAGCAGAGCAGACCTGTCAGCTCACGGCAGCAAGATGCTCACAGCTCCCTGCCCTCTTCATCCCTAAGTACCCACAACCTGACAGACCGCACAGCAGCCTTATCTTCCCAGGACACTGATTAGAGAAGCCTCAGAGAAACCTCCTGGCAGCGGCAGGTCTCCCCGGGGTATTTTTAACCCGTGCTCCCGCAGAGGGGAAGGAGTTAACAGCAAAGCAGGCAGCACGGGGCCGCCAGCATTACATAAAGCTGAGGCGGCCACGCTGCAGCTCCCACACGAGCAGCCTTCCCCGGCCGCCAGCCGGCAGCTTACGCAAGGGGCCGGGCTCCAGGCAGCCATCGCGGGCGCCATGTGCCTTCCCCTTCCCCCAGCACGGCACGTGTAGGGAGGAGGAGCGACACGGGCCGCGGGCTGGCCAGCCCTGGCACACGTGTGCTCTGTGCTGACCTCGCTCCCGCTCCGCCACATGGCGCAGGCCTCGCTCCGCACGGCCCCGCCGCCGCCTCCATCCAGGCCCTGTGCGAGCCCAGGCCCTGTGCGAGCACCAAGGGGGCTTTAAGAGAGGCAGCAAGGTTAAAGAGAGTCCAAACGGAGCCTCCTGCAGCTTCTTCTGATTTTTCTACACAATAAACTGTGCACATTGGGAGAAAAAGACACTAATGAGCGGGGGAAGGACAGTGTGGGTTATAAGGGTGTACAGAGAACACAAAGATCAGTAAGTTTAGTGTAAGACTAAACACAATTACTGCGTGGCTCAGCACCCTCTTGTACTCTTCCATGCTATGAGACAACCCTCATACCAGAGGGCATCTCCTAAACCTTTAGAGACAGGCTTTCTTGGCTGGTTGTCTCTGTGTACCACACCAGGGATGTTAAGAGATCACGTTAAGCTCTCACAAATACTGCCCACCAAAACGTTCCTGATACTTGCTCTGAAGCCTGGGACCACCAAACAAGACCATCAGCTCACAGGGGCTGCTGAAGGGAAAACGAGGCCTTTTCACTTACAGCAAACACTTGAGACAGGCAGCGTGTTTTCAGAGGAGTTCAGCATGCTGAGAGGAAAACGTGACAGGGCTGCAGTGTTTGCCCTGAGATGCAGAAGGGCAGGAGAAGCCGCTGCTTTACCACAACCTCCTTTCTCAGCCCTCTTCCACAGAGCTGCTTATGCTGCTCCTCATTCCAAGATACACAGTATTATATCATGTCTGAGATCCACAGCTAAAGCTTTTGCTAACAGACCGTAATTGGATCAAACCTTCCAAAACTGGAATAACAACACAGAAGAGCAGAGCTGCTTTATTCATCACACAACACCTAATCTTCCTGCTATCAGCGAGCACATGTAAAATTGTGATGCTACCTGACCAGTGCTTTGCTGCGCAGCATTATCTGACAGTGCCCATATGTTTTTGATTATCGCACAGCCCTTTACCCTGAGACAGAGAGCAGCCACAACCTGCCCAAACACAGCTCTGGCACTGCGAGGGCTGCCCGCTGTCCTGCAGCCACCCACCACACGCAGCATCTGCAGATTTCCAACCACACCCCCACAGGCACCGCTTTCTGAGTCAAGCCTCCGTGGCAGTGCCCCAGGGGGACGATCAGCTGTCTGGAGAAAGCTGCTTTCCTCACCAACATGACATCTCAGCTCGCAAATGCCAGGGCCCCATTCTGTCAGGAGACCAAATGCATTCCCGCCCGCGTCTTCCTGTGCAGAAGAGCTGGCTGCCAGCACTGGCGAGCAGGCTGCTCCGCACTGCACCAGGCCACCGATTCACATATACTGTTTAGCTAGCTCAGAACAATTGCATAAGCTGCCAAGGGCTAAATCCTTTCTCCAGAGGGCTCGTGTAGGGCTGTGCACACATGAGAGAAGCAGCTTTTCTTCAGAGTCACAGAGGAGGTGGAGGATAACTGGCAGATATGCCACAAAGCAGGCACTGGACAAAGGACCAACTATTCCACTCCCACCAAATCACACACACGAAAGTGGGTGGAAAACAGAGTGCCTCGATCATGGGCTAAATAGCAATGCAGGGAAAAAACACCTGATGCTATATCACCATGCAAGGGTAACACCCTTGGGTAATACCCAGCGAGGGTAATGTGATTCAATAGACAGAAGTCAGAAACTTTTTAGATGGAAAACAAAACAGTTTTTGCTATGGGATATCTATTACAAAGCTACCAGGATATGCAAACTTCCCCCAAGCTTGGTTCATTTAAGTCAGTACACACTCCTATTAAAAAGCATCTATTTATATTTTCAACCATATGCTAAAATGCCGGGTATGAAACAGTTCCTGAGGCATATTGGAAAAGCTCCCGGGGCTCCCTTCTGCCCAGCAGGACCCAGGCTGCCCAGGATTATGGAAACCACGATGCTGCCACCAGCGAGCAGGCTGCAGAGGCATTAGATCCTCAGGAAGGGAAACCACAGAGATCCAGAAAAAGGAGGGAACAAGTTGCCAGCTGGATCTTGTCAGGCAGAGTAACTGTCAAATAAAGACTTTGAGCAGGCTAAGCTGCTACCTACAAGATTATCTTTGCTGTCTGACTTCCACAATCTGAACACAGGTAATGCTGACTGGGAATTCTAAGGTATTTTTTTCAGGGAGTATTTTCCAACACTGATGCTGTTTGTTTGTTTTTTCCTTGCTTTGGGACAGAGGGCGGAGAGAAGCTCTGATCATCATACAGCTGTGTCAGCAGTGCTAAAGAGAAGCACATTGAGACCTTGCTACTTCGCATAAAAGTGGCCAAATTCACAAGCTAACTGAACAGGTTCTTAGTAAATGTTAGAAAGGAGCTGCTGCTGACAGTAGCAGGGACGCACTGCTGAGGAAGAGAGAGAGACTACCAGAATCACAGAGCTAGAAGTGAAATATCAGACTATTTGTTTAAAACCAGGCCTGACTATCATTGGAAAACTGGCTAAAGGAAGATGAGAAGACACCAACACTGGGTTACAAATTACATAGAGAAAAAAGTAGGCTGGGCATAAGGATAACACATACTTTGACATAAAGGTTGGATAGTAAGCCTGTAGGGCAACATGCTTGGTCTGACAAGCTTTTGGAGAAATGCAGTATTAGAAATACACTACCACAGAACAGGAGACTTCAACCACATACAGTGGGTAAATGTCACACTTCAAGGCCTGCCATAAATGGCTTCCACGGAGCAATTAATGAAGAACCACAAGAAAGAGAAGCAATTCATAATTTCATCCTAGGCACCGGGCAGGATCTAGTTGAAAGTGTTATTTAATCACCAGCCTACTCCAACCATGACGATGGCTTACATCTATTTAATATACTTGCAGTAGCAGCTTGCCTGGATGTGACCCTGTGCCCCGTGCTTTGGGTGTCCCTGCTTGTGCAGGGTAGTCGGACTAGATGATCTCTAGAGGTCCCTTCCAACCTCAACCACTCTGTGAGTCTGTGAAAATACTATCAAAAACCAGCAAGAATGACTGCAGATTTTAAAAATTCATTCAGGAGCATTAGTGAGACCACAGAATAGAATGCCTGATACCTGTGTTAGGCAAACTGGTAGAAAATAACACTAGAATCAGGGAATGTACAGGTAAATACAACACACTCACTGGAGAGTCAAGGCAAGCTGGTGCCTCAAAAAACAAACAAACAAACAAACAAAACCCCCACACTATTAGCCATCTTTGGACATGAGGCAAAGGGAGAGTCAGTTGATGAACTCTAACTAGATTTTCAAAAGACATCTGACAAGGCGGCCCACTGAAAATTCTTGAAGAAACCCAGATGACTTGTGATAAAGGGAAAAGTCCTTGCAGACAGAAAATTCCTGCTGAGTGACAGGGAAGAGTAGGAATACATTTTTCTAACAGAAGGAGAAATCCCACACACAGCTGAGTTAGGACCTGAGCTTCTTGAAATTTCTTCTGTGTTATCAGGAAGGGTCAATGAAGGGCAAGTTGATTAAGTTTAATTACATAAGCTACTCCAAGATAGATCAAAACGAAAGGCAACTGAAGAACTTCCCTATCTACCACGTGACCAACTGAGAAAAACATCTCAAATCTATGTGCTAGTAATGTTGTTTTTATGTTTGCATTACTTTACAGTGTTAGCTTTACTTATACAGTAACGGACTCTCCACTAGTTGTGGCCATTTCAGAAGGAAACCCTGAAACATCAGTTGAATATTTAGCAGTGCTCAAAAGCAACAGAATGGTAGCAACTAGTAGAAGACAGAAAACTCTCCAGCACTGTATAAATCCGTTATGCTCCTACAACTTGAACACCAGCTAGTTTTCACCTCTATTCTCCATCTCAAGAAGCAGAGAACTATTAAGAAAAGTGACAAAGATTAGAAGAGATGAGCAACAGATTCCACCTGCAGAATAAGTAATCTATGATTTTCTAGCCTGGAAGAGACAAAGATGACACAAGGAAGTATGAGGGATACAGAAGAACTGAGGAAGAAGCAAGAGTTCATAGTCTCTTCTAATGCAAAAATGGGAGAGCAACGTCCACTCAAGAGACTGGTTCAAGAAAACCTCCAAACATTCCCACACATCATGTGCTAAACTGCAAAAAGCTACTTCTGATAGGACTTTATGGGTACAACAGACTTAGAGGAGAAAAGCTGCTTTTAACATGGTTGGCACCAATCAGCCAAAGGAAAACAAATAAACAAAACAACAAGAAAAACAAGCAACCTGTAAGACTGAAATACGGCTGAGGTCAAGTATGCTGCAAAGTCATGGCTGAAAAAAGTTTCAGAGTAAATACAAAGACTACTGCACAGCAAATACATAACAAAAACAAGACATTCAATTTTTAAAATAAGATAAATTTGCCCCAGACAATCTTATTCTATGTCTCAAAGCTGTACTGGCACATCCATCAGTTAAAAAAAGTGCCTTCATAGCCTGTTTGAGACAACAGCTTGACTATTTTTATCTCATTGAAATGGAAAAAAGCAGCCTATGTAGGGAGAAAAAGTTCAGGGACAGCAATCAATAAATAGGACAGCCAGCCAGCTTAAATGACTGAAGTACAGAGTTTAATTAGCCCGAGGCAACACCTTTCCTTCCATTCCCGTCCCTGTCAGCACTCTGACGTGCTCTCACCAGAAGGGTGAGCATGCAGAGTAACCTCGTCAGCACCATCCAGGCTCACAGGGGATGAGGCTACCGAGCTCCAGGCGCGGCTACCGCCGCGCCGAGGAGGCGGGAAGCCTTCGGCCTCGCCTGGGCAGCACCCCCGCCCTCGCTCGCCCCGTACCTGTCCAGGTCGTACAGCGTGTGGGAGTTTTCTATCACCACCTCCACGCCAGCCTCCTTGGCCAGTTTGACAATGGCGGCGTCCCTCTCCTTCCCAAAGGGCTCCGAGTCGTACTCAAAGGTGAGGCGAGTCACTCCCCATTCCTGCAAGAAACAAAGTGCACGCAGCTGTCGAGCACAGGATGGTCTCGAAAGGGTACAACTGCTAAAGAAGGCAGGAAACCCTTCCAGGCAATATTAAATGATGGGAGTACAGATATAGTCCCTGTGAGAAGAGCAGGTTAGAGTCAAGATAACTGGTGAATCAACAACTTTAGAAGCTCTTGCAGACATGGTATCTGCTCTGCAAACTCCTGTAAGACAGGTTTAAAATACATAGAAGGAAATTTGAGTTCTTCTCCATAACCCCTCATTTTAGGTCACAGCTCAGTCACCAAGCCTTAAAAGCATCTTGTTTTGCTACCCACATTGTCAGAAAGTGAACCTACCATCGGTACCAGCATTTGCAGAAAAAGCATTTCAGGGAATTTTTTTTAATGCAGGTTCAGCTCAGAAAACTACTTATTATGTGGAGAGTTGATCATTATCATTGAGTAATGAGTAAGCTCTGATTTTTCCACCTGATGTCTTTTTAAAGCTGTCACATAATAGAGGATCAATACCCAACCCTATCAGCAAGGAACATGGCAGTGCAAAATTCAGGATAAAGGATGGCTTGGTTGGCTCAAAGAATGAGTAGACTTTTCTTCTCAGAACAGTAGAAGATGATACTACAGTTCTGATTTAAATTATTAAACTTCCTACAGGTGGGAATTTCTTTCACCCTTGCCAGGCTATGAACCTATTCTGTGTCTTGACACCTTTAATAGATCCTTTACAGATTACATGAAATAAGCCTTATGAAATAGCTTTCAGCCTCTTGCAGGCTTTCCCAGAGCACAGTTTGCTCTCAAAGTCTATGGCCTAGTTTTCTTCAGAAAATGAATCCTATAAGAGGAGGTTAAATGGTTTCCACAGCGACCCTCCTGACACATCTGTCACGCAGAGCTGCAGCCCACAGTTATGCTGAGCAGAAGTGGTGGCAGACACAGGCCAAAATTCTACAGACACGCAAGAAAACAAAAACAAAAGCAAGCGCCTTCATACAACTATGAAGGTCACCTCTGTATGCACAGGACAGTCTCTTCCAGCTCAAAATCAGACCTGAGGGGCATCAGAAATACACAAAAACAAACAAGCAAAGAACAGATCCAATTAGTTTGTTGCAGTACATTTTACACAAATGCCAAAAATAGAGAAGGTAATTTAGAGGTAGAAAACAACTATTAGAAGCCTCCCTTCCTTTCTAAACTCTTCCAGATTCAGTATTAAAATTACTGTATGGAAGGAGAGAGAATGAAAACAGCTGTGTATCACTGAATGCACATTTCAGAAGTGTCCTCTACTCTTTTTCCAAAACGAGAACATGGCAGAACCCGCAAGTCCCGAGTTACACAAACACGATCCGGGGCCTGCCTGGCTCTCCTACTAAAATGCGATTTAACAAATTCTTGTTAATCTTTTCCTTTAAAAATGATAATACCAGCTTGAGTGCACGGAAGAGATGGGTTTGGTCTCAAAGAACATACATTACTGCCTGTATAGAAGGGAATGAAAATGTCCATTTAAGGCTGGCAGTGACACTTTCAGGATAAGACCATTGCAGAACGGGCAGACAGGGCCCGATGCTCAAACTCTTCTCCTTCCCACATCCATGCTCTGCTCGGGCTGCATTCCTCAGGGGCTGTGATCACCTTTGCCAGAGCCACTCCAGCTGTGTGTGATGCTCGTCCAAGAATAGGCCCAATAAATTCTAAGTATAACCATAGAGCCTTGTCTTTCTTATTTGTCCAGCATCCAGTCTTCAACGTGGCAGCTCTGCAAGGGCCTGGATTCCCATAAAAGCCACACATTCTCCTTGTAGTAGCATAAAGAACATGCTCTTTAGTTCTGTTACAGCACATCTAAAATATCCATCCATTCTGCCTAATCAAAACAAACTGGTTCTGGATGACTCTACCATCATCTCTCAAAAAAAGCATCAACAAAACCCCAAAACCCTGCAACCAGTTCTGACAACTACTTTCTGGTCTTTGAACAGAATGGGTATTTTTCTCCTGCAGAATTTTAATTATCCTGTCAAGGACCACAAATAGCCAGAACTTATTTACAGATCAAAGATAAAAATAATCCAGATTGTAAAAAGGCTTAGAGCAGCACATAAATTATTTGTGTCTTGTGTTAACATGCAGGAGCCAAAATAAACAGTGCTGCACTTTCTGACCTGCAACTGATTCCTTCCCAGTACTGTCCCCCTCCAGAGAAAATTTTAGTGTGACCATATACAGCAGGAGGGTATAGATGCAGGACACCCCTCTAGAAGGTGGTCTACAGCAGGCTTTGGGGACACCATTCTATAAAACATAAGGCAAGGTACCATCTCCACAACAAATTCATCTCATAAGAGTCTGGAGAACCATATTCTCCTCCTTTGGCATTGTCCCTCCAGCGAAGTGGCTGTCAGAAGGCTTCAAAGGCAACAATGAACATAATTTGAGAACAAGGATGGAGAGGAATGAGTCAGAGACTTTCACTGCCTGAGGAATTTTGGTATGCAGGGATAACTGTCCTCTTGTCAGCCTCTCTCCTCCCAGTCTGCAGCACTGCAGCTCTCTATCACTTCAGAAATGTATCCCACTAATCCATCTTTGGCCCTGAGGTCACTGCATCTTCCACAATCCTAAACAGTACATCTTCAAGATACCTGAACCAACACCTTCTGCTACTGAAACAACCACAAAACAACCAAATAAAACAAAACAACAACTAAACTTGAATGGAAGCAGGAAAGAAGTAAGAGTTATATATGGAAAGGAATAAGAGTTATATATATGTAACTTATTTAAGTTACGTATAAGCTTCTGAATTTTTGATTTATAACACAGAGCTTTATGTGCAGCTCATGTGTAGATCAAAATGCTTCCTTGGATGTCTGTAAAGGTGTACAGACATGGCAGTTTTCTCAAGTAGAAGCAACACACTGAAAGTTTCCAGAAGAGAAGGAACTCTCCACAGAGGGGAATCACTGGCTATGGTGCAGCCCAGTGAAAACTGACTCGCAAAAACACAGGCAAGGGCCACTGTCCCAAAAGCAAAGCTCACGCATTCAGAGAGTAGGTTACTCTGGACTACTAAACTTCTGTGGAAATCTGAATGTAAGAGCATATCTGGCTTCTAAGCTCACCACTACAGATAGCAGTAAAGGAGAAGCTGGTGGTTCTCTAACAACTAACAGATACTAGGGAGTGAAAACAAGGATACCATTTACAGTAGGGCTTTTTTTCCCCCCGACTATGTTTTAGAAAATTAAGTTTATTCTCTTACTTTAAAGAGTCTTGGGAAGACATCTGTGGGCTGCCCTCGTACCACAAACAAACGGGAGCTGAGTTTCCTTAAACTGTTGTCCAGGTCTTCCAGGGACTGGAGCAGAAATCTGCAGAGAAGAAACAAGAGCAGTTTATATCACTCAGACTGGTCACAGCTAAAAGGCAAATAAGGAGGATTGACAGGGAAATCCAATTAACAGGCACCACTGATCAACTCTCCAAACAGATAAAGAAGAAATGCAGAAAATAAGAGCTCTTATTCATCCCTGTCTGCCTACGGACTGTTAACACTTGGCTACACCAGCCAGTCCCCAGCCATCCACACGTCCTGCCTGCCCAAACGAGAGAGCTCCCCAGGATTTTCTTCTTGCAGGCCCTTCCTATGTTCTTGCTGAGAGCTGATACCCCCTGCCAGCTGCTCTCTCCTTATGACACCCATACTTAGAGCAGTTGTAAATGGAACTGACTGCTATTTATCTTCCATCATGCCCACTGCGAGCACGCTAGGTTATTTATCCGCTCCCTTCCACCCCAAAGCCATCAAAAGGCATTTAAGGGCTTTATTAGCCATCTGCCTTACTGATTTCCTACCGCGCTGTACAACTTTATGCATACCATCTTTGCTTCCACAGCCACCCTGCAAGGGAAAACCCCGTCCACACTGGCTTCCTTGTGGTGCCCAAACTGTGAACGGCGCCAACCTTTCACTCGAATCCCTGCAGGGGCAATGGCAGTGCTCGCAAACCCGGGACCCCTCCTGACGGAGGGGGCCCCTCTGCCCCACGGCGTCTAGGACTCGGGCACCTGCAGCGCGAGCCCCAGCGCAGCAGCCTGCAGCCTTCCTCCCTGCACCACGCGCCATGCGGACGGCAAGGGTGGCGGCACGAAAAGCTCCCGCTGCACACCTTGAAGGAGAAAGGGACTAAGGTTTCAAGGACAAAAGGGCCCGGAATCACGCCTGGATCATCGGAACAAACCACTTCCCTGCTCTGCACACACCTGCTAAACGGCAACACCGCCTTTCTCTCCGGGGTGTCCTGGAACCTAAGCGTGTGTTGCTGCTACCGGCTCGCCCTCACAGAGCCGCGCACACACCGAGAAGCAATTCCCCAACGCGACAGGTTTCTGGCTGTGAAACACCTGCCCGTTCAGCACAACACCGACACGTGCAGGAAAACCACACCAGCCTGGCAGAGCCCGGCTGTCCCGGGGCGCGCGGCCGCCTGCAGCAGACGTTGGCACCGCGCACGTAGCGGGCAGGGCTGTGCGCAGCGGCCGCGGGG